CCTTTTTCTGGTGAAGCAAGAGAGAGAAGAGATACTGATTCATTACTAATTGCTGTGTGCTTGAAAATTCAGATTCTCTCTGCCTAAAATCTGATTTTTAGCCCTTTCTTTACCTTCTCTTCCTTTTTTTCTTGCCATAGGGAAAGAAACAGTCACAGATTGCTGTTATTGGGGGAATTATAATCTGAATTTTTCTCTGTGATGAGAATTGATAGTATTAAGAAGCAGCACTTAGAATGTTTTTATAACTGAAATTTTTTGTTATTTTCTTTTCATTTTCATAAAGGAAACTATTCACATCAGGCAGGTTTCTTATCTAAAATGTCTTTAATGGCAATTAGTATCTTTCCCATTCAAAGTTAAGACATTTTTAAAAGTTCTGTCCCAAGTTTTGGTTTTTTTCCTAAATATTTATGTAACTAAATATCTATATATGCATATTCCTAAATATGGAGTTTATGTATTTTTTTTCTAGTATTGCATGGCCACTTCATTAAGTACAGTTATTTCACTTAATTGTGCCAGATATTTCCTCCTGAAATATCTTAGAAGTTGTTATTCATTAATAATTTTTTGTCAAACTTACAAATTCAGAAAGATTTTGCATGACTCCAGGAATATTAAAGTAAGATGCACTTACTAATTATTTTTTTAGTCAGCCAGCTTCTAGCTTTTCCCTCCAGTTTACAATATTCTTCTTTTACCAAACTGGCACGTTTAAAAATCTTCTAGGACTTAAATGCTGAGTTACATTGGTGTCAGTCAGCCTCCACTGCTGTTAAATAAATACTTTTTTAAATATAGGAATTCTTTCTATTTGAGATTAAATGTTTGCCATCCATTAGCTACAAAATAAATAAAATTGAAGGGGAAAAGGTGCAGCTAGACTTCCTGGAAAGTTCTTTTATTCTATTATATTATTATTGCCTCTCTGGAGCCCTTCTGAAGGCAAACTCTCAATTCAGAGCCCAAGCTCAGTCCCTGGCTGAGTTTCTGAGTCCTGAGCTGTTGTGCCATTGCCTCCTTTGCAGACAGGTTTTTCTCACAACACTGCTGAGGTACAAGTCAGTCTCTAGGGTTTTACTCAGAAGAACTGTAATGAGTCTGGGTTTTAGCAAAGCTTTTCAATTCATCCTCAGTTTTAGTAGCTGTTACTTTTATAAGGTTCACTTCCCGTATCTCCACTGAGCTCCTCAGTGATTTTCACCCAGGAGGTCACCTGCTTTCCCTTATATGCAGAATAATGTTACTCTTTAAGGGAAAAAAGGAACACCTGAAAAGGTAGTTGATTCTGATCATAAAATCTATTAAAAATTACAATTTTCAAACCACAAGTGAGCTTTGCAGAGTACTCCACCTGAATCTGTAGCCCCACAGGGGCTCCAAGGCAAGAGAGACATAACTGCAGTGAATTCCCAAAATCCAGAAGTGCAGTGATCTCAACAGAGCCACGCTGGTTTGAACAGAGCTGATCAGCTGCGAGCTGCAAATCTGTGTAAGAGCTGGGATTTTACAGTGCAATCATGATTTTACACTCTGAAACCTTATTGATGAGCTTTTCCTGCTGGGCTTTCCCTATTGATCTGCCTTCTAAAACACATTCAATGTTCATCACGATGTTTTGGTGGGAAAATGCTGCTGTTTCCTCTACATTTCTTTATTACCTAAGAAATGCTCTGTAGTCTAAGGAAATGCTGTAAATATTTTGAAACATGGATGAAGCTTACTTCCTGTGTGAACCTGTGCTAATTCCACAGGATGATGCACAGATCATGGCTTTTTTTCCCTCCAGTTTTATTAGGCTCAACAGAAAAGAAATTCTGATTTCTGTGTCAGTATAAAGAATACATTGAGTCTTGTTTTTAAATGAAAATGGAATTTAAAATTAGTGAAGCTTGTAGTTTTAAGAAGAGTCCAACCTAGACTATGAATATTCTTTAAACACTGAGCAGCCTAACAGATATGAATGTAACTGCCCCGAGTTCCCTTGTGGAATGATATTGTTTGCAGGACCTCCAATTTTCATTGTTAAATCTCAAAGGTCAGAAATTATTTTAACTGATTGGGCTGGAGGACAAGGGTTCTCACCCTAAGGCTTAACTAGGTGAACAAAAATGACATTTAAATTCTTTTTTTTCCACCCCCCAACTCTGAATCGAGATGATTCAGCAGCTATGGGTTTAAGGAAAAAGCATGAAATAGCACAAAGACATGTAAAAGTTCACTCATGTGCTCTTGAGTTCCTGAACTGATATTTACTGAGCTCCTAAACTGATGTTTACTCACAGAACCTTAGGGCTACACTATTTTCGGAGTGCTACTCCTCATGCTGTCACAGATAAAATAAAGCACTGGGGTACATTATTTCCTCTTGTCTTTGGCCCTTTTCTCCTTGTAAAACTCAAGCAATATTTACAAACATTCCCAGTGATCTCGGGAGCAGGATGAAACGTGTGAATTCTCTGCCAGAAGCCCATGTACAGAAGTAAAGTGAGGGGCAGGGCTGTGCAGAGGTGATGCTGTGGCTTTCCTGGGACAACCAGCAGCCACATCCCTTTTCCCATACATAAATGGCAGCTAGCAATAGCTAGAAACAAAAGGCCCCTCTCTCCCTCTCTGAATACAGTGACATTCATTCTCAGAGAAGCAGGGGCAGCTTTTTGAAAGCAGACTTCTTCAGTCCAACAATAACACACAATGAGTTATTGACTTGTTTATATATGGAGCTCTTTTCAGTAACTAACTCTGACTCCCCACAGTCTGGACAAATGATTGATTTCGTTGTTAGAAAAAGAGAAAGCTCTTGCACTAAACTCTGTAGTGCAAACTACTTTTTCCCCATTTGTTCCCCCACTGAATAGGACCTTATTAAAATGCACTTTCCAAAAAATACCTGCAGCTGGCCTCTATAAGCATGTTTTGTATATATAAATAAGTAATTTGTCCCACTCTTTTGTATGGTAACAAACCATTGGAGAATCTTGTCAACACAGATATGAAGGTTGAGTGTCAGAGAATTTTGGTTAAACAGTATTATTTGTATTGATCTGCATAAAAAGCATGATTGTAAAGGTATTTACAGTAGCTGTTTGCTGTTTGGTTACAAATAATGACTTTTAAAAATTAATAGGCGTGTTGTTTTTTTTATTGAGATATTTCCTTTTGGCACCAGTTCTTGAAGTAATATGTATAAATATGTTACTGTGATACTTTGATATCTGTGGTCAACTAAACAAATACTTGAATAACTACTAATTGAAATTTTAACTTTTGCATATTTTTGTAATATAGAATCTATATTTTGTAATATAGAATATATAGAGTTTATGTGCTCAATGTTAATTCTCCACACATGTACATACACAAAATTTTATTTCAAAGAAAATGAGTCTTATGCTCTCTTTAATTAATATGGGTTGTCTTTAATAAGAAAACAAATACTTAGTCCTTTTCACAAATTTAAATACCAAGGCATATTCCTTAAAAAGATGCTGTGAATACCCCATAGCTGAATTGCAGAAAGAATTTAATATTGCCAAGAAAGGATGCAGAGCTCTACTGAGCCCTTCAATTTGTTGGTTACACATCAGAGGTAGTTAGGGACTCATTAAAATATACCATATATATGCACTCCAATGCATTTTACTAATTTACACAGAAATTTAATGGATTTATGGAGCTATTGCCACACCACTGCTGATTCCCCAAGGTTCTTTTGTGAAGTAAAAGAGAACAGAATGTGAAATGTGAGCTTTTCGCTGCAACTTCACATAAATTCTGTAGAAATGAGAAGTTAGAAGGAAGTAAAGTATCATAGCCCGTGTGTGCATGTGAATATTCTTTTTGTTTCTCACAAGATGGAAGGAAGTGCTGGTTTTTGGGTTGCATTTGGGTTTCTGTGTTTCTATTTCTAGAAACTTCTATTTCTGTGTTTCTATTTCTAAAACTGGAAAAGTGCAAATTGTGGATTTCTAAACTTTCTAGTCTATTAGCCTTGAATCTTGATGGTTTTGTTATTCTAATTCTTTGAGTTTATCTTGTCACACCTTGATTTTACAGATTTGCATTCTTTCTAACTTTTGCCTATCCATTTCTTTTATCTGCAATCTTTTACTCTCTAATCTTTCATTTGTTTCCCCCCAAAAATATTTTTACTTATCATAATTACTTCTTTTTTCTCTCTTTAATGTATTATTTCCTGACATAATTTGGCTCCATCTTGGAGTCTTACCACAGACAGGTCACCAGTTTCCACCCAATTTTCCAGACAGAGTGATTTAACAAAATTAAAAACATTAACTTGATTTACAATATGATATTCAGATATCCACTAAGCCTTGCTAGAACCCGGTTAGAATTACCAAAGATTTATTTTTCAAATAAAGTTGCAAAGGGAAAAACTAACTAAATTTCCCTGCTTTTATCTATTTTCCTATGAAAAATGGTATTAGCATAATTTTTGAGAGAGGATGTATAAGCAAAGCAAAGAGTATTTTCTATAAAAATTTGTGTGTGGAGCAGAAATTTACCGCAGAAATGAATGCCCTGTCTTGTTATCTCTAACTTCTGTGTTTCTGGCATGGGAGTGGAGATCAGGAGCTCAGAGCAGCATCATTTTTAGCTGGTAGTGGAGGCCTGGGGGAGGAAAAGGAAGAGCTATTCTTCTGTGTAGCTTCTGTAGCCTTTTGTGAGGACACCGAGATGCGTCGGGTTTTCCTGTGATCTCGACGCATCCCCCCTTACAATTGAGTGGTCCCTCCCCCTGTGTGTCTGAATGTCCTGGGACAGACCCTCAGCTGCACTGAGCTGCTGGAGTTGGTGACTTTTTTGCTGGTTTAATTGAGTGATGTGCAAACCTGGACTCGAGGCAGCACCGAGGGCTTTCAGAAAATCTGGCAACAGCTGCTCCGTGGGGCTTTCAGGGCTTTGGTCTCTCCTACAGCTTCAGGTGTTGTGTATAGAATCACATGAGGACAGTCAGATCCTGGTTTTTGGAAGATATTATGGCTTTTTTATTATGGCAATTTGTTGGGCTGAAGAAACATATCTTTTCTATGAAATGCAGCCAACAGTTTAAATATTAGTGAGTCAGTGCAGTCCCATTCAGCAGCGATACAAGAATAAAATCAAGCATATGCTGAAAAAACAGGACACTAGATTTGTGTCTTTCTTTTCCACTGAGGAGAAGTAAGGCTGCAGTGTGTGATTTCAAAGATCTGTGACTGAAATCAACTCTTTTGGCTGAAACTCCTGTCTCATTTTACTTTGAAGATGTTTTACTTTAGTTTTACTTACGCGTGAAAGTGCAGTTCTTTGTGCTCTGAAATCTTTAAAAGTGCCCTTGGAATTTGTCACAGTAAAGTTCTTAGACCCTTTGCAAGTGCCCAGGCATTTTATCATATTTAGAGTCAGAGTTTTAGCCATGTTTTCTGCCTGTGTGTCCCACACAGATAATTTTGTCAGCCCTTAGCTCATGCCAGGAAGAAAGCTTTCCAGTGCTAACAGGAATCATCTTTAACTTTTATATTTACTTAAAAGCTTACCCATCTGCTCCCAGTTGTGCTGGTTTCCTTTTGAGCTGTAATTGCTGAAGGCCAGTGGGTGTACTGGTGTCAATCAAGCTGAGCACATACAGAGCCCCTCTGCCTTTCTGGAGGTTTCATTTACCACACTTAGAAGAACTCTCTGAATGGTTTTTAAACTTTGGGACAGTAGATGAAAATCCTGGTTTCATTGGAGTCAATAACTGATCCTCTCATGCTGATCCTGACTGGCAGGTGTCCTGGGAAGGCAAAAAGTGCCACTGCTCAGAGGGGAAAATGCAGCTGTGAGGCCAACCCCCAGCATAGGTAGGGAACAAGGGCATTTAAACAGAACCCTCAAGGAGCTGGACACTGGGAGTTTTAAACAACCCACACAAAACCATTGACTACTGTCAAAACTAGAATGTCTTAATTTTCTTTTTAACCTCACCTCTACTGCATAGGACTTAGGCATAGCTTTCACCACTTTAAAATAGTGAGCACTGGAAAACATACTTGGGATATATGAAGTTTTTAGGTTATTCATTCTGAAAAATGTAAATTTTTTTTTTTGTGATTACATTGCAAGCCAAGGAACTCTAATAACATTCAAAAGATATCCATTTTCTATTTGATGCAAAAAAAAGAAAAAATGAACTTAAAAATTCTTACATGAAAATGTACAAGAAAATGCCATATGTGTTTATATGAAAATGCTTCTTATGGGTTTTTAATGCATGTGCCTGTAGCATGTTATCATCATTCTTCAGCTGGAGTTTGCTTTTAGCTTTGAGGAGGAAAAATCATTAGATAGTCTTTTAATGATAAAAGCAGATCTATGTTTAAAGAGGAAGTGAATTACATAAAGCAATTTTTTTAACAGTTTAGACAAAAAGAAGACCATAAACACTGTATTTGGAGGCCTGAGAAGTTATTTTTTGGCATTGAAGTTCATTGTGACCCCCATGTAAAAATGGGGCAATTTTCTACCACTCTTCTTCTTAATGAAACAGTTAAGTAATTGCCAAAAATAATTTCAGTTACACATTTCTGACACTTCAGATTTTCATCTTTTTCTGTGGGGGTAATTTCTCAGAGAGAGAGAGAGAAATCAAGAGCTGTGCAGGACAAGAGCAATAACTTCATATTCTCTATGCCTTGCTTAGGAAAACAGACATAAAAGTGTCCTGGACTTTATATATGTGACTTTATATATGTGACTTTATATATGTGACTTTTAACTGGACTATATATATGTGACTCTATTTTGAATTTAGTCTCTCCTTGGATTATGATCCAGTTGTATTAATGAATTTAATGGTGCTTATCAGAAACAACCAAATACCTTGTAAAGTCAGTATCAATACTGGCTGGCAGGAAAAACTTCAGGTCTTATTGAATTTATGAATGATGACTATTATGAATAATTTTTTGTAGAACAATTATTCATACTCTGGAATGTCTCTGAAGATAAGCCTTTTTACTTTGGAGACAACTATTGCACTTAAACCCCAAATTTTTTCTCTTTCTTTGTCTTCCTAGCTCCATATGGAGTGGTCTGACATGGACCCTTCAACTTTCTTCTCTTTTCTAGCCTCTTCTGTGTAAACCTATATTGCAGGTGTGTAAAATTATATTTTATATTACCATATATACTATATATTCTGTGTAAAACTATATTGATCCAATTACCTCCATGAAAAAAATCAAAAATTGAGGGGTGGCATTAGGATCAGTGCTTAACAATCACAGATTGAGTTTTGCTGATATCTGGAATTGATGAAAAAAGAAGTAAAAGCACCTAGTTCTCAGTTCTGTTTATGCAGCAGTGCAGAGCTACTTGTTCTGCCCCCAAACAGAATTTTGGTAAAAATTAATCTCATGACACTTTTGCTAGCACAGATTTCTCCCTCATGACTTCTCTGCCTATATTTTCATGATGAAAATGTAAATATTATGTCCTCTCTTTACTTATCCCTGCCAGCCTACTTTCTGTCCATGTGTTTGGAAAAAAGGGGAAAAAAAACTAATCAGTGACTGGGTGGGAAGCTTCAAATGAGGTAAATCCTCAATATATTCCAATTTAGTTGCTCTAGATTTGTTCAGTGTCATCCAGCTCCATGCAGAAGATGAACTCATCCTTTCTTTAGAAAGAACTAACTGCAGTGTTTATTTCTCAAATAATCAAAAGGGATTTGGGTGTAGGTCATGCTTTTTATCAGTCCTGAAACTATCTAGAGAAAAGTTAGGACATTTTCTTCAAATTTTTATTTTTATAATGCATTATTCCTTTTGTTTGTAAACCAAATTTTAGAAGGGATTTTTCAACAGAGCAAATATTTAGTGCTCAGTTAAGAATTTAAGTAGCTCTTTGCTTTTGTTAGAACTATGTTGCTGCTCAAATTACAAACATTAATATGGAAATATTAATATGGAAATAAGGAAATATTATAATGAAAAGCTATTAAATCAAGGGTTTTTCTTACAATATCTCATGCTGTGAAGTTGTCAGCATATTCTAAAAGTGAAATATTAATACAAAATTTATGGCAGTTAAAAGTGAAGAATTATTTCAGAGTAGGTATCTTGATGGCAAAAAGAATTAAGCCCTTCAGATATGGTATTATTAATACATGCATCTTATCAGAATTCTACCTGTAAATGTATATTAACATTCCATTTCTTGGAATAATTAAAAATATTTTTAGAATTATATCAGTGATATTTCACTTCTCCACCAATAACTTATAACTGAGGTTAGCTTGTCTCAGTAATAATACTTCTTCTTGTTATTTACTAATTTTTAACAAATCAAATTTTTCTTAAATAAAACAGACTCACTAAACCTCACATGTAGACCTCAGTCCTGATCTCATTACTTTGGCAAAAATTCTAAATTATCTGCCTGAGATTAGCATGAATTCCTTTTTCAGTTCTATGTACTTCATAATTTTATCTCTCCCTGTTAAAAGGCATGTACCAAACCAATAAGCTTCTAATAACCCATCACTTATTAGCAGAAATATGGAAGTAGAAGACAAACACTATTTAATAATTACCATAACCAAAATATTGCCCTGAACCATCCTTGAGATGTTTAGAAGGCTGTAAAAACATAAAAACAGAGCAATGACATTTATGTAGATGAAGAGAGAAATAGCAATTGTGGGAAAAATATTAAAAATGTCTAGATTTTCCAATGATTATTATTCAGTTCATCTGGAGATACCAGATTTTCTCTTTGAAGCTTGTAAATCGATAACCCACATTTACAAATCCATTTGATTTATTAGGATGTTGGGAATTACATGCAAAAGCCATTCAGGTTGTTCACTATTTTAACTCTCCTCCAAAAAACTCCTGGCACACTGAAAACTGTGGAGGTGGTGACAGGTACTGCACACCCAGTGCCCAAGCACCTCACATGGATCATACAACTCTTGGAATTCTTTTAGGAAGACTATCTGTGGATGTGATGATTGGACAGAGTGTGTGCTCTTGTCTCTGATACCTGGCTCTGAGATCCAGGAGAACACTGAATGTCATAGAACATGAAATTTATGGGCATGTTTTCATGGCGTTACATGAAACTTCCTTGTTCTTTCTTCTTCATCTTCTTCTTCTAGAGGTTTTTGAGTAGTAATGAGTGATTGGATAGAAAATGCCACAGTGCAGCACACAGCTGTTGGATCATTGGGTCATTAAGAAAAATAATTTACAGGTCTATTGTTAATTGGATAAGAATAAGTATAAAGATAAAAATGCTGCACAGTTTGAGGCCGTTTTGTGCCTCCAAAACCAAAGTGAGCCACAAGGGCAGGATGAATTAAACTTGAGCAAGAAGTCTGGAAAAGTCTGACAAGTTTTGAGATAACATCCTAATAAACACGAGAAACAAGATCCTAACAAGCTTTGGAGTTTTCTTCTGACCCAGAGAACTGAGATAAACAGAACTCCCTGTGAGGGAGCATCCAGAAGGAGCTCGGCCCAGAGGGGACTGGGAAATCCACGTGGGAGAAGAAGTGCAGCAGAATCAGAAAAACAAAGTTACAGTGATTTTCTGAACCTGAGAGAGTTTTCAGCCTGTCTGCGACTGATTTGTTCCCAGGGGAAGGTTTCTTGAGAACAGTTTTCTCTCAAGGATTGTTTTTTGTAAATAGGTTTTTGGTTCCCAAAACAATATTATACAGATGTCTTGAGTGTTTTCTTTTGTCCCACCAATGAGACAAGAGAAGTGTTGTTCCCTTTAGCAATCATGTTAAACCTGTATCAGAATACCTTATAAAAGGGGCTGAAAGCCCCAAAATAAAGCCTTCTTTGGATGAAAACCTCTGCCAGCTGTGATTAATCCGCACTTTTATCTCATGTCCTCTAACAACAAAAGTCATCACAGAAGGGGTGGTTGGGCATTGGAAGGGGCTGCCCAGGGAGGTGTTTAAGGAAAGCTTGGATGTGGCACTCAGTGCCACACTCTGGGTGACAAGGTTGGACTCAGTGACCTCAGGGGTCATGTCCAGCCCAGCTGATCTGTGACTCTGCTGCTCACCCTGGCACCCTTGAGCAGCTTTAACCTGTGGGCAACCAGGAGGGAGCAGCAGGAAGGGAGGAGCTTCACCGAGCAGTGCAGGGCACCCACAGCTCTCTGATTCTCTCTGCAATTACAGCATCCATTCCCCAGAGAACGGTGGACCTTTGTCTTTTGAATAACTACGTCAGTTGTCAATATTTCATATGTCCTTCAATGTGGATATTAATTTCAGTGTCACTTGACACGAACCTAAATGCAAATTCTGTAGTATTTCCATGTTAAATGATCAAGCTTTACCTTTTAATAGTCCCCATTTTTGTAATTTTTCTGACTCAACAATTTCTTGTAAGTGTAATTTGAACAGAAGGCATTGTATCATTGTAGAGGGCACATTAATTATCATATGTATTACAAAAACTAATAAAATGTAGATATATTTAATCAATCCCAGATTAGATTTTTATTCACTAACTTAGATATTCAACCACTGACCAATTTTTAACACAATTGGTATCACTGGGATATGTGATATTTTCCATCTTAAAGTTTTTTTATTTTAAAAAGGTGCTGAATCTGGACATTTGAACCCATTGCAAATAATTAGTTGTGGCACCATCACAGCCTCACTTTTGATGTTGTTTTTTTCCTAGTTTCTGATTACCTATTGAATAGTATTGCTTCTTTTTTACAGTTAAAGCAATGAAGGGCTGTGAAATTCCATTTCTTTCATTCCTTAGCATTTCTCCTGTGAGATTCTAAAAGCTGAGTGCTGTTGAAGCTGTATTTTGGACTTTTTGGGCACATGAAGATGCAGATGTGATTTTCAAAATCTGGATAGTTATTCTCCTCTACTGGGAGGAAACATGCTGGAAACTGGTGGGAATGTCATCATGACTTCACTCATTGCTCATTAAGAAAAAGTCCTCCCTGTGATTCCCGATGGTGTTTGTTTTGCCTTGTTTAGAAAATAATTACATGCTGAGCTCAAATCGTGCTATAAATCAATACAGCAGCTGCTGAAGCTTGGCTGATCTGTACCAGCTGAGGATTTGTTTCATTAAGTGTAAACTCTTATTGCTGTTCTTACAATTGTCCCTGCCCCTTGTTCAGGCTGCAATTGACAGGTTGAGCGCAAAGTGGCTCGGAGCACTCTCTGCTCTAACATGAGTGGGCTCTGGGTAACCAAGCATTTAAACTGACAGCTGACTTTCCACAGCCAAGCTAAACGGGAGAGGCGTGAATGGATGCTGGTGATAATAGATGGCCCTCACGTATTGACATTGCACAAATACCTGGTACTCCTGTTTGCTGCCGATTTACAGCAGCATCCGTAGGCTTTGAATACCTTGCAGGATTCTCTGGAAGGCAGTGTACAATCATCATCCTTGGAATCTGTGAAATTGTAGACATGGCATTATAAATATTTATATTCACTGTGTTGTACCCGGTCCAGGTGCAAGTGACACAGGCATCAAAAAAACAGGCTGCTCTCCTCAGGTGGAGTTTTGCAAGGCTGCAACACACAGGGAAACAGTGGCTCCTCTCACATCCGTGCCCTCACCCTGTCACATGCCAGCAGAAGAGATGACCCTTCCATATTTTTAATGAGAAAAGAAGTGTATTCTTTGCGTGTGCTGGGTTATTTCTTTGCTACGTTGTGCTCTTTCACCATTCCCTCGCCCAGCTCCTGTACAAGTGTCACTTCCATGATGAGTTTTCCTGGAGAATGAGGAGTAAAATGTGTAGGCTCTCTCTGGCACAATGAAAGCATGCATTTTTTTCAACTTATGCGTACGTAAGCCTTCTTTTGTGAATAAGACTCATAGGGTCAGATAATGTTTAAAGGGAAAGGCTTTATGTCTCTCAGGCCTGCATGTTTCCACATGGATGCTTCTACACACACACAGATTGAATTATGAACAGACCTATTAATGCTGGGATCACAAAAGGTCAAGTTTTGTCTTCTTTTACCTCTATTCAGAATTGCTTTTGAAAGGGGGAAAAAAGGGATTTGCAGGAAAAAAAAGATTCATGATGAAGAATTTTACAGGTCTTTTTTTTTCTGTCCTTTAGCAACATCTGGGAGTTGGAAAAAAAAAATTCTTATTATGTAAAATAGTCCAAGGGTATTGTATTACTAGATTTTAATATATCTCCTTTGGGTCACTTGGAGGGTTACCTAATGGAATGACCTGCTACATAAGGAACAAAAACACCAAAAAGGAACTTTAGGAAAATATTCCTGCTACTATAATGGACATGTTTAACTGAAGAAAAACTGTCAAAGTATTCTAAGAAAAAAATCTTTAAATGTTGGCTGCCTTTTTTGGTTTTCTTTTCAAGAAAATCTTACATTGAAGTTGAACTATTCCTTTAGACTACTTATCTGAAAGTTATATTAAACTTTAATATCCACATCCACATAAGAACAGATGTTACAAAGTGCTCTGCCAGATCTCATCATAAGTAATTATTTTCACAATTTTTTTTGCTATAAGAAAATCAAATAATATTACTGAAGAGTACCAAGTGTATTTTCATATTCAATATCCAATGATGCAGGGTCCTGAAATAACTCTATCACCTAAAAAATGTATTTTCCTAAATTTTATCCCACATGTTTCACAGAAAACATGTTTGAGAGAACTGAGGAAACAGGAGATGCTTTTAAGATGGTAAAAAGTTAATGTTACACCCTAAAGCTCTGCATTACTTTTGGGGCATGTGTGTTTGCATGTGTGCATCGTTTAAGTTCACCACTTAAATTCAGTTAAGTTCACATTAACTTTTTGTATTGCTAAAAATGTATTGGTGTTTATTTATATTTGCAAAAAATGATACAAAACATCCCTAAGAAGAAAAATGCACAAGTGATATAAAGTTTTTGAGTGTGATTAAGGCTAGGCATTAAGAATAGAAGTCCAGAGAAACCCGTTAAAATTAAGGAAATGGATATGATGATAGCAAATTAAATAAATGTATTTAATTAATTAATAGAAAAGGTGATTCACATTGAAAAAATCATTGGCATTATTTTCACAATTTAAGAATTACTGACTTAAAAATTGATAAAATCTTCTAGGACTCCCTATAGGCTGAAGTAAATGAGATTAATGGAAGGAAGTCAGCTCTGACACTGTATAAAATTAGGAAAGAAAATGATAGCAAAATATTGCAATGCTTTTATATCAACATCTGAACAACTTCATTTTTTTTCCCACAGGCATAGGAAAGAAAGCTATAGTAAAAAAAAGGCTTAAAGCTTTGTCCTCAAAAAGAGTACAGATATTTGATTTAAAGTAAAAATGACAAACACTGGCTCAAGTGAGATGAAAATAAAACATTATAAGAACGTCCATGCATAAAATAGATTAAACAACAGGATTTCAACACAAGGCTCATTACATTCTTTTCCTTCTGAGTACTTAATGAAATGCCAGAACTCACTTTTGCAAGTTATCCTTGAGCCCTGTTACCTTTGTTTTGTGGCAAGGGTCAGTGCCAGAGACTCAGCTAGGCTGGGTTGGGTTGATGACTTTGTATAAATGTTCACATTCTTTTTGATATGCAGGTATCTCTAAGTTTTTAATTGATATACTTTACTTGTAAGGGAATAGAATAAGGCATAATAATGTAGTAATAAAGAAGAAGAATCTGTTCAAGCAGTTGAAAAACATTTCAACTTCAATATGTAATAGGCTGTCCTTTAATAATAAAAAAAAAAAGACAGAGAGAATAAAAGTGAAATATATCATCCAATCCAGGACTTCATGTCTGCCTTTCTGGTGTGAATATGGTTTTCTGTGTGTACAGACACCCTCTGCAGTGAAATCATGTGATTGCCCACACAATGCACAGCTATAACTCCTTAGGTGCCATGCACAGTCTATCCCAGTTATTTCTCCTAAGCCATTAAAACTAATGGGATATGTAATCTAATTTTCTTGGAGTTAGATGCACAATTACTCATGAGAAATGAATTTAGGAGCACAAATGGAGAAGGCTGGAGGCATCAATCCAAACACTCTGTGGTCCCAGTTATTTTGTGTTTGGAAATGTAAAGCTCACATTTCCAAATAAGGTTTGGAACCTTATTTATATAAGATAAACCTTATATAAAACAAAGTTTTACGTTTCCATGTTAAAACATAACTCCTTAGTTGTGTTCCTCTGCTTAAATTGTATAACTGGGGTGTGACTTAAGGCTGCAATTCTGAAACTTGAAAGTTCTGCAAGCAGAAGTTTTGAGAGAATTTGGACTGTTTTTTTGTAAGTACCCCTCTTTTTTGCTGATGTTTGTCCTTTCTGGAGGCCAATTCCTTTAGCATTTCTTAGTGGTTCACAAAATTGAACATTATGATGGTGATGATCACAGAGTTAACATGACCAGCTATATTTAACAGCCCCAAGAATGTAAATCCTAAACTGTAACTACGTGGTTACTGTCACTGTGAGATATAAACATTGCCCATGGGAAAGGCTTCCTTTATTTTGTTCTAAGGACATGTAGGATATGCTTGATATTTGAAAGCATGGCAGTGATGATTTTTACTGTATTTAGATCTCTTCCTTGAGCTGAGACATTCTCTTGTCCTTCCCAAACTCATCAAGAACATATATATATATATATAAATTATATATCAATATTATTATAAGAACATATTATATATGTTCTTATATAAAGAACATATATATATAGTGCTCTTGAATTTCATTGCGCAATGAAAATATGGCATGATACACATATAAAAATATTTTCAATATTTTAATGAAAACTGGAAGAATATATGCTAAATATCATTAAAGACATAAATAGCTAATACATATAACTCCTCTGGAACTTAATTCTCTTTTTAAATTTGAATTTATGCCATTTTTCTGTCAATACAGAGATGGTAAATTACAAATTCTGGAAGTAATGAATGTGTTTTTTCCAGTTATTAAAGATCATTATAAGAGTATAATTACTGGTGATTTACGTGATTGCCTATAAAATGCAAAATAAAGGGGGAGGAAAACTGTGTTTACTCCTTGTGTTTGCTACTCTTAATTGTGGTTTTGCACACGGTAATGCCTCTTTTTCTCTGCAGAGAAAACAATAACCATGCATCTATATTAGAAATTCATTTCTGTGTAGAAGTTACACATTTGAATTATGTATCCTCCCCAACCTGGAACAGTAAATCCCCCCCATAGTTCTGTAGGTTTGTGAGGAGAAATCTGAGAGGTGTGATACCCACTTCAGCTCCTCCTATTTCAATTTAACTGCTCAGATTGAGTGATGAATTGCAAGCCCAAAGCTCTGGAATCATCTCCTGAAATCCTTCCCTTGTACAGGCAGAGCAGGAACAGGGATCTTGTGCAGCTCTAGGGTGTCCCACAAGCACAAAAACATTGCAAGATTTCTCTCCAGAGTATCTTTCAATATTGACATGATCTCATAATTTGGTTAAAAGTATCTTGGCTTCTGTTTGGTAACATCATGTACACCTCTATGAATTTGGAAGTGAATTTGTTCAAAGCTAGGCTGAATTCCTCATCTTTTGGGAGTTTGAGAGGGTTTGAAAAATATTTTAAGTTGAAGTTGTTAAAATATATAAAAGTTATCAATTCATTTCACTAACTAGTTTACTAGTTTAAAAGTCAGTGAGAAGGACATATATATATATATATATATATATATATATGTATGTATATATATATATATTCTTAAATTCCCTTTTGAAAGTTAAATTCTACAAAATTCAACAGCAACACCCCACAGGTTTTCCCAGGACATTAAAAGAACTACTTGAAGTTCTATGGTAATCCTCAAATTTATCAATACATCTGGGAAAACACAGTCTATTAACCTGTCCTATAATCAATTTTTGATATCAAGATAGATATTCTATCTATCAAGATAATTATTCTAAGAAATTCTTTGACCAACAGCACTTTAGATGTGGGTATGTCTACCCCCTTTAACCACTGGATAGCTGTGGGAGAGAGAAAATAATCCAAGGTGAATTTTACAAAGCAGTGCTTAAAACAGTGTTAGATTTCTGCTGTGGAGTTTATCAAGCTCAGGTGAAGAAAATAGGAGCATTTTTCTGGGTTTACATCAACTTTATTGCCAGTGTGGAAGCAGTTTTGTAATTTGCTGTCTTAATTTAGCTTAGCCTTTCGTTATTTCAGCATTTTCATTGCTGTAGTGAGAACTCTTAAATCTTCTTTCTGTAACTCTTGCATAGTAGCAGAGCTTATGTTTTATTTTGCTTTCCTCAGTCTTCCACAGAGAGAAAGTGGGTGAATAACCAAGTTTTAGATATTAATTGTTTCCTATGGCAAATGATTGTACTGAGTACTGGGCATTTTTTATTTTACACCTATATTATTATTTATTTTACACCTACAGGAAGCCTTCAAAATTCCTTTTTATCCCTCAGGAAATCAACTTGCCCTATGATCTATCTCTTCCAGCAAAGCCTAGTTCTAAAAGCAGATTTTTTTCCTTTTGCTATCTTCCAGCAAAGCCTAGTTCTAAAAGCAGATTTTTTTCCTTTTGCTATTAGGGCATTTTGCTATATCAGAAACTGTAGTTATTTCAGACTTTGTTTTGAAGAAAAAGCTTCATTTCTTGACTCGAGAAGACAACAAGAAGTTTTATACAAGAGTGTGGCAGTGTTTGACAGCTGTTTCTGGTGAAAGAAAGCAGGTACTTTGTAGTGAACACTCAGAAAATGGAGATAACCTCCTTATTTCTGATCATAATGCTCTAGCTAAGCTGTAACAGGGAGTGAAATATTTATTAAGTGAGCTCTTCCTCAGAGTTAAAACCAATCACAAGTGCTCAGTTTTGGAGTTTTCTTTCATATTCTGGGTTTAAGAAATTTTTCAGAGAGAATAAGGAACTTTGTGATGGTGCCTATCAGAACAAGTCTGGGAACATCTGAGGAATAGAGAGTGCAGATATTGCAAGTTAAATATCTGGTTTTTTTGTTTGCAATATTTCTTCATGGGGTTGTGGCAACCCCATAGCAACACAGACTGGAAATTAGACCTCTACAGTCAAATTTGGATATTTGTTGCAAATAAACACAGTGCATAATTAGAGTTTACTCTTTATAGATATTCAAAATGAACTGTTGGCTGAAGCTAAAATATGTACCTATCAATACACATATAGCTTGTTAACATTTATGTTTTCTTTTGTGATTCAGTAAGAAAATAAGCTTACAGTTATTTTTTTAGTTTTGAGATGACTTCAGTGTAACTCAGGTTTGAGTGTGAATATTCTTACAAAAATTTTAACACTCTCTGTCAAAAGTTTTCCCTTTTTTTTTTGTCAGGGGGAGGCTTCTAATCTCAAAACTGCACAAGAAGATTACCTGTCAGCAGGTAAAGTCAGCAGGCAGGAAACTTTTCTTTGCTTTTTTGTTTCTGTGAATATTCAGTCTTCAGATGACCTGAAATGATCAATAAGAAAATCCCACCATCAAGAAACACGTATGATTTTGTTTTGTTTTAGGATTGTAGTCTCTTGAGGTATTTATGATGGGGACATTGTAATATGCTGAAAAATATTTCACATTATAAACAAGGAACCCAGATTGAATCAAATGTATTTCACACAAGCATCAATACTACATTTTTGGACTTATTTATGGATTACAAGAGAACCCTGCTATTGACTTTAGTAGGAATAGGGCTTGAATAGCCTTTGTTTAAAATCCATGTTCAATCACTGAATTTCAATTATAATTTTTTTCTAAAATTATTAAAAATATATCCAGTTATAAAAAATGTCTTCTATCAGACTTGCATGTTGCAGCAACCAGTCCCAACATATGTGTTTTCAAAATGTTTTTCTCCTGAGAGTTTTTTCCATAGAAAATTAAGAAAACTCCCATATAAGGATTATTCTGGTAGCTAAGACCTCACAGGGTCAATTTTTTAATAGTAATATATAATATATAATATATAATATATAATATATAATAGATAATAGATAATAGATAATAAATATTATATAATAATATAATATAATATAATATAATATAATATAATATAATATAATATAATATAATATAATATAATATAATATAATATAATACAATATAGTACAATATAGTACAATATAGTACAATATAGTACAATATAATATAATATAATATATAGCTATTAATTTAATATATATATAATATAGTATGTATAATAATAAATATAATAAAGATATAATAATTAAAAAAAGGTGGGTGGGTGGGTGGATGAGGAAATGTGAGCTGACCTGCTAAATGAGATTATTTATTGAGTTTTGGTGCAAGTTTGACCTCTGATCTATGGCTGCTCTTTATGCCATTGTTGTCTGGTTCATAGTTATTTCTTAGTATGTCACAAAATAGAGGTATTTTTTTTTACATAAGGTAAAAAGTTTATTTCACTGTGCATTCCCCTCTCTCCAATCCCCAGTAAATCTTGTCTAACCACTTCCCCAACACAGACACATCTGGCTATTCATCCCAGATCATCATTGAATCAGGCATTGTGTGTGTGCAGCCTGACTCTAATTAGATCATACATGACCAAACCATTCCATAGGTGGAGCAGCGTTTGGTGTGGTCAGAAAGGAGGGAGATAAAGGAAGAGCAAAGCTCCCAAAGCATTCCTGTCATAAGTGCTGTGCAGCACAGCCCCTGTAATCCTCAGGAGCCTGCTCTCACAGGCTGGAGTGTGCTCAAGTGCCAGGGTTTCTCTGGAATGCCAAGACATTAGCTCATGTCTGCAGGGAATCCTGCTTTGGGGAATAGGAATCCTGCTTTGGGGAATAGGGATCCTGCTTTGGGTCTGATTCCCATACAAAGCATTGTGTTTTGCATGACATTAAAGGACAGTTATAGCTATACAGAGAGGTTTAGGTGAATTTCAAACACCCAGAAGTTGCAGAGTTAAGTTACAAACTTCATAGCTGTTCATGTAGCAAGGCCTGCACTGCTTATCTGGGATTTTTCATCAAGAAGTGGCATTGTTTCATTAATGAATCTATTGCACTGAGTATAAATTTTGATTATCATTTCCATGCAATGCCCTCATTCTCCTCATCAATTACAACTGAAAAGTTAAACTTGGAACATATAGCTGAAAGAATCTAGACCTTCATTTTAAAATGGAGTTCACTTTTTCTGGTTTTATGGGCATACAAATGCGTGTGTAGATTTGTGTGTGGTACGCACTTATTTAAAGCAATAAAGAAATTATCTACATCCCACTTCCATAGTTTTCAGTTCTGAAATGAATTTGAAGATTGTAAACTGCCCTTCAGGCTTGAATTTTCACTTTATTTATATATAGTTATCTCTGAAGAATGAACTTTATGTTTGATCTGGGTGCCTGTTTTGGGTTGTGTATTTCACCTTATACAGAAAAGGGTCCCTTAAACAAGTTTTACTTTGAAGGAATTTGTTCTGTAGGAAGGGATTTAAACACACAGTCATGCTCTGGATCAGGGATACTTGAAAGACTTCATGAAGTGCTTAAATTTTCTTTTGAATCAAACTTCTTCCTGGATGCTGTAATCTGAAAGGAAAACAGAATATAAAATTAAATTGGTTAGAATAAATATTTGTTTACCCTCTCCTAAAAGAATCCTCTCATTGACTGAAATGATAAATGTTAAAGAGCTCTCAGTATGTGGATTGTTGTGGCAAAAATACAGCCAATATTTAACCCATGTGCTTGCTTGAAGCACTCCCCAAATCCTGTGCATGGCTTTTTTTTTAACAGCTCTATCTTCTCTCTGGAAATGTTCCTTTAGATCCTTTGGTTTGGGCTGCAGAAGGTCCTGGATGATCCTTTGGTTTGGGCTGCAGAAGGTCCTGGATCAGGGTGGTCCTAAGGCTGAACACACCTCCTTGTTTTCCAGCCAGAGCCCTTTCAGGTTCTGGGATGTGCTACTCTAAGGCATGGCTACAGCTTCTGTGAAGTGATGCAGAACAAAATCACAGGGTGCACACAACTGAAATGTAGCTCCCATTTTGGTATGTTTCAAAAGTAAAATGAAATGAAATGAAATGAAATGAATCAAAAGTAAAATAAATGAAATGAAATGAAATGAAATGAAATGAAATGAAATGAAATGAAATAAAATAAAATAAAATAAAATAAAATAAAATAAAATAAAATAAAATAAAATAAATTTAAAAAAATAAAATAAAATTACAAAATAATAATACAAAATAATAATAATACAAAAATCACAAAAAATAATAATACAAAAAATATATTTTTGGATATTATTTGTGTAATACAAAAGAAAAAGGGTGCATTGCATTTATGAAAGGCAGTGCTGTGCACAGTGATAATCCTTATCGATAGAACATCGAAAGGTGTCAGCATTTATATGCTGATTTTGAAGCTCAGTGCTCAAATCCCCAATTTTTGTTGGCCTTGCATTGCTTAAGTCATCCTGCTTAAAACACCATACTGAAGTTTTTTCATATGAAAAGGAAATAGTTGCTCTGAGCCTGAACTATGTGGTACAGAAGTTAAAATTTGTGAAATATCTGCTGTATTCAAGGAATGTCAGGCTCGTGTAACTGACATACTTTAGAATGTTTATCTTATAAACAAGAAGCCTCTTTACACTTGGTATTTTTTTATACAGTAGTACAGTACTTTGTAAGTGAACTAAATATTAAGAGTATTTTAATATCAACCTTTGCTTTAAGTTACATCATCTATGGCATTTTCAAGCCCATCCTTGCTTTCTTTTGAGCCAAAAAGCACTGGAGAAATTCTGGGAGTTTCTCTTTGTCTAGCAAAGACTCACCCAGAGGCTCCAGAAAGTGAAGGAGTGGATGCTGCTGGTTCTGCAGCACTCAGTGCAGTTTGGTAGGTTGTGTTTGGCTGGCTCACATGTGATCTGTGGGCAGAAATCTTGTTATTGGTTGGAGAATATCAGGTGTCTTGCTGCTCAGAGGAAAGGAATCCAGTTCCAAAACTGTAGGGTGAAATGGAGTATGGAAAGCGAGGATAGCTAAGATATTTGCCTTGACAGTGCTTCTCTAGATCTAAATTAAAATGTAGATGCAGCCAAATGATTACTGAGAATGAAATGTTTAATTTGCTTCCTTAACTTGCATATATTTTTGTGGGTATATGAAGGTGATGAAGGCACAGGGGAAACAGTTCTCTATTAACAAAAAAGAACAGGGAAATCATTCTGAGAACCAATCCAGAGCTATTATGAAAAGACCAAGTAAGTGATGACTCGAAATTCACGAATTATCTTGTTCAGAATTAAGTGATTTTAGGTTTTCACTCAGAGAAACTGGGTTTTTACAGCTTTGGTTGTTGATCCCCACAGGGCTCAACATGCAGGGCCTGTCCCACAGCAATGCCCCTTGTGCAACTGGAAAAGTGCCAGGTAGAGCTGCAAACTCCCTGTGCTGAGACATCTCTGAGACCCAGCCATGACACTGATGTGCAGGAGAATGCTCTGAGGATCCTGAGTGACAATGGAACCAGTCCCTGGTACAAGCTTGCACTGGCATTTCTCCTCTGTAGATAGTTAAGGAGCATAATGGGCTTAGCCCCTCTCAACTGCTTCCGAGTCAGAGAGCAGCTGATTTATCTCCTGCCATGTTATTTTAGCTCATTCCTGACATAGCCAGCATATTTTGTGGTGAAAACAACATTGAAAAAATCTCTTTATTCCATCCCTTGTCTGACCAGATGGGCATATATCACTTTCTTAATTAATTGGAATTTTGTATCCAGAGATGAATGTGTTCGGTTTTGAAAATGTTTGGATTCCCTTTTGTGCCTCTTCTGGCAACAGCTTTTACAAAAGTGACAAATTATTTACACATTCCTAATAACAATAATACTTTCTTCTTGTAGTTCTGATAGTACTTCCTGTTCTGTTGCCAATTCTCATGCAGAGATATCTGTAAACTACAGAGTCAGTCAGATTTTGTCAGTCCAGGCACAAAGTTGTTCAGCCTGCAGCTTCTGTGTAAATTTCCATATTTTCTGTAAGTCATATTTTCCTTAGTCATTGTCAGATCAGTAATATCTGGCGTCAGGGAAGTCTGGTAAAATCTACTCAAATCTGATTTATGCTCAGGTATGAATACTGAAAAAACGGAATTAATATATATATTAAAGAATTAAAACTTGGATCAAATTGCTCTTGAAACACCATAAAGCATAAGAGCTAGCTAGTGATCATTCTAGCTAGATGTTAAAAATTCAACTGCTTCGAAAGCAGGTGATAGAATCTGTCTCTATTCCTGGAGCTCTTTACTGAAAATCTCTTTAAACTCGTAACAAATTTCACTTTTCCTTCTGAGACTCTTTTCCAGTTCATTTCTGTCAAACTACAAAATTTTGTCCAAAATTAATTTTTAAATTGCATTCAGGGCTATATCCATATTTGACTATAACATTGGTTATAAATGTCATTTTTGT